TTTTTTAAAAGTTTTTTATACATGCAAGGAGAAATTTTAAAGAAAAAAATGTAGTGCAAAAATTTCACGCAAATTTAGTCCAAAACTACTTACATATCCGAAAAAATATCCATGATCAGTAGCGTAACGTGACGTGTGAGCCCGTTCTCAAACCTTCTATCCGGACCCCTTTATAAAAGTGCATAGCGAACACAAGTAGTGTTAGTACCTTAAATAATAAAAATATCTCCTAAAACATGCCTTCTTCTATTTGGGACCGCCCTTATTGAGGGCCCCAACGTTACGCCACTGTACATGACGTTACTTGAAGTCCTGTCTGTGAACAACAGATCTCATTAGGGAAAAATCTCTACCTCCATTATTTTAGTCGTAGGAAGACGCTGAAAAAAATTGGAACTTTTGCAATTTTGGAAAATTCAGAGATTTTAACGAAAATGAAACCTGCACCATTTTTAATCGTTCTTTATGTTATCCCAGGACAAAGTTTATTAAAAAGATTTGGAACATCTTTGAGAAAATTTTGAAAATGTTAAAGTTTCATGTAAAACTCTCGTACCCCCAAAAGTCAAAAATATCCATTTTAAACTGAGAGGGCCTCGAGTTCATTTAAATCAATCTGGGATTATAAATTTTGGAGATAATAGGCAGAATGGTATAGGGTCTTTACTATAGACTCTAGCTTTCGCCACAGACGGACGGACAGACAGACTGACAGCCGATTTGCCATCAATCGATTTTCGGTTTCTAGGACCCTAGAGACATGGATTCTGACTACACAATATGTTAAAGAAGTAATTTACTACACATAGAAACAAGATTTATCTTTTTTCGTTTCCAGGGACCGGCAATCAGTTATTATGGCAAAAAATTGCCAATTTCCGGCACGATTACAGTACTTTAACTTCTTACGAAGAAAGACTAGAAAGTAAATATTACATTTGTGTAATTTAATTACAACAAAATTACATTTTTGTAAAAATTACATTTGTGTAATTTTTGAAGGTGTAAAAGAATACATCAAAATGTTGAATTGAATTGAATTTGCCTTATTTTACATGGCGAAATGTTGTTCATGTTATTCAAAGCACTTCCCATACAAAAACTTATCAGAAAAAAATGTGTGTAGAATATTTTGGGTAAAAACTTGTTTTTAATTACAATTATGGAATGTAATTAGGATTGAAATGAATCATCAATGAAAATATTGAAAAAGAAATGAAAGAAATAATTTTAACTTGTAACAAATATTATGCTAATCTTCTTGTCACCTTAAGTCATTTTAAATATTTATATTTTTATAATAAGCCTAGTAATCTTCATGACTAAAGTAAGTTTAAAAGTCACATAAAAATTTTAGATGACAGTAAAGTAAATAATATTTAAGTAAGATAATATTTTAAAACAATAATATATTTTATATATCAAACTGTCACTGGATTAAATTAAATATATACTTATGAATTTGTGAATTCGGAGGCCATTAATCATGAATGGAGCCTAGAAGTTTTGCAAAACGCTTTTTTATTATTGTTATTATTTTAAGACTTTTGGCTATAGGAATCACTTAACTATACTTCTGGAGTTATTGTAGAAGATTTTCATTTTGTCTTTTTTTTTTACTTCTGATGCCTATTTGTAGTATTTTGTCTAATTGTGAACTGTTTCTTCTTTTTCCATCATTATTTTCCTTCTATTTCTCCAGACACCAATTTCAATCATGTTGGAAACATATTTGTAAACCTGGGCAACACGAAGGCACTGGCACATTTTCTTTCACTTAGGTTTCATGCCAAGGAAGTGTTAAAAATTGCTATGAGTAACCAATATAATATCAAGAAAGATTTTTGGATTTCTTTCACTGATGCTGGCAAAATTTTTTCATTCATTAGGAGTCCATCCTATCTTTGGGTTTAGCTTCTGAACGCTTACACTGATAGACCTCTTACAAGTTCAAAGTACAAAAACAGCATACTCATTGATGCCATTCCACAATTCAAAGGAGAGCCCACGCTAGCATTTCATAGCAGAGTCATGAGTGAAACATATACTTTGTCATCATAATGAAGTTAGGAGTGCCACTAAGAAACAAATTTCAGTAGTACAACTGAAAAATAATCTCTGATAGACTAAAAAATTTTGTAGTAATGTGCAATCAAGATTGCAGAAGAAAAGAAAGTTTCTTCCATATAAATTTTAGTTAGAGTAAAAATTTAAATAACTTAAATTATTATGAATTTTTTTTACAATAATTCCTTGGAAATTATTATTTTTCATGGTTTACATATCTTTTGCACCCCTATTGTAGCCAGAATAAAAGCCTTTTTGCATGCCTATTTTAGTAAAAGTAAATGCCTGAACTTCTCTGCCCTACTTATGAATTAAGTTCTTTTAGACAATTCATGACCGTGATTGAGCTAATAATAACCTGCAAAGAAGATGGAAGTTAAATTAAAGTATAGCTTGAATTCATAGGATTATGAATTTTTCTTTCTTTATTTTTACAATGAGCTAAAATGATTTTTCTTTGAAATGAACATATCTTGACTGAAAAAAAAAATTATTGATCACAATTTATTAGATATCAAGTTAGATTCATACAATTTAAAAACCAAATAAAATGTATGTACAGTATATACATCTATATCTATATCAAACATATTTTATTTGAAAATAACTGGAAAATCAAAACTTCATTTCTCATTGTGCCTCAGACTCTCTTTAGAATAAAATAAGTTACTAATATCCCGCCAGGTACATGTCACCAATGAGAATAAATATTGCTATATTATGCTTGCTTGTCATGTGATAATGACTTGTGTTATTAAAATTGACTAAAATTCTTTATCGGTTCCTTTTTACCCCAATATATGACAATATATATTGTTTCATGATTTTCTCAACATTATATGTCAGTATTTTTTGTGAAACATACCAAAAAGGATGGTAATGGTATATGTGGAATGTACATATAAGGGTATTTTATAATTCACTGATAGAATAAATGTGACAAAGAGCTGTGACATTCATTCATTTATCACTTTTTTCCCAATACTATTATTTTTTTTAACTCTTTTCTGGGCAAGCTATTTTTGAACCTATGTGCAAAAGCAGTGTTTATCTGTTACTGCCTTATAATAATGTTTTATTCTCTCACTTTGCCACAGCTTATCTTCTAATAACTTAAACCTTCATCATGAATATGAACCTTCATCATCTTCTAAAAGAAGAGATATTTGTCCATCAAAAAGTATTTTTTGTATAATTTTTGTTCTTACTGCTGATATAATGTACAAATAAAAACACAATGAAAAACAAATCATAACTTGTACATGCCTATAATATCGAAATTTAAAACTGCATAGCATCTCTTAACGTTATAAACACTATCTGACAACCAATCTTGTATCTATTATAGACAGATGAATGAATAACATTACTTTGATTGTTGTTGAATTCAAGGTCACTTAACTTAGCCTTACCAAAAGAATAAGAGAATTCTCCAAAAATTGCTTACCTGAGAATGTTATTAAGGATGAAAATAAATATTTTAATTGTAGGTTATTGACTCAAAAATGAAACACTCATCACATGCAGAATGAAAGGGTAACAATGTTACAAAAGACCAAATATGAAAACCTTTTAGTCTTTAAGAGTTAAAAAGGGTCAAACAGACACTGGTGACCCCAATAAGGTTTAATTGAAATTAACTGCTAAGAGAATAAGACACATTTCAAATAAGTTTCCTGCAAAACCACAAAAATAATGTAATAAGTTAAATTAAAACTTCTGAATATATTAGAGAAAATTATTTAATTTGTTTACGTATCATTATTACATGCAGCATGTATTTTGGAATTAGATGTATAGGATGTGAAAGTAAAAGCACTAATGGTAAAGTGCGAAAATTTACGAAATCCTAGTAGTATATTTATGGAATTTCAATATGTTTGCAAATTGTTTAATTTCATTGTCAAAGTACAATTTGACATGTTTGCATTTAAGCACCCTTCACACATCTAAATGTATCTATACAGACTGTCTCAGAATAAATATTACAAGCTCTTTGGGCATGTATGGGAGTTGAACATTATCCTTTTTGGCAATAAACAATGGTAGAAAATTTCAAATAACAAAGGCATTTGCCCCTGGTTCTTAGATATGTCTGAATGCATTGGTATTCAATGGGTCCACATAATTCCTTTGAATGTGTCTGAATGTGACTGGTCTGACACCTGTGAATGATGAGTTATATGAATGAAACATCACTCAGGGGATACATAACACTCAAGCATGAATGAGATACCAACAATGGCAAATGCTGTACACATAGCATCATTATTTGAAATTTCTCACAGTTTATTGCCAAAATGTGATTCCCCTTTCAGGACCAAGAAGTTTGTAACATATATTCGGAGACACTCTGTATACACACAAATGCAAGCCCTCAAAGCAATAATGCTAGCAAGTCTAATAAGATAAATAGTTAAAAACAGAATATCAATCATTTGTAGCAGCTGCTTAAAATTATTAACCAATTAAATTAGTATTCTTAACAAAAAATAGGGAATTTTTATTAAATTCTTAATAAAAAAATAGGGAAGAGTATGTTGTGTGGTATTGTTTACATATTCTGTGAAGTTGATCATTATTGCACTAAACCTCTAAGGCAAAATTTTGTGAAGCTTTTCCCTGATATTCGTTTTAATACATAGGGTTTTGAATGTGCAGGTCCTTCCAACCAGAAATACAACCCTTGTGACAACATTCGAAGAGGAACAAGAAATATACCAACATCGTACCAGTATACTTCTGGAGTGGCTAGAGGAGCTGGATGGCAAACTAAACATCCTGATGAGTCAAATAGTAACAGTTCTTATCTGTTTCCGGAATCATCTGTAATGAAAAGTTCATCAAGTGGGAAAAATTTATGTAAATTACCAAGTCATAATTATCAAAGTCACCATTCTCCAAGAAAATTAACAAGAACATTATCTCTCAGATCCACAGCTGAAGATAAGCTATTTTGCAATTCCCCGGTAGAAGAAAATATTTATAATAAATATTCAGATGGATTTCTAAGTGATAAACATCATCAGAATATTGATTTGCAGTTACCATCTGAAGCAATTTCTACTACTCCTTCTGGTTATAAACGGGAGAAGCTAAGATCATCCTCACGACAAAATTTAACATCCCTTTCACGTGATTTCAAAACTCCAGACACTCCAAGTGGCTATATCCTTCCACCATTACCTCAAAACTCTATTCCAGAGACTAAATGTAACAGTATCCCAAGACCAACGCATGTTAGTAGGATACCAGGTCAGGAAAGATTTAATAAAGGGGTAACAAAAAATATGCGGATTGACAGTTATCAACCACAGCCAAAGCATTCATCATCTCTTCCTAGCATTGTAGAGGGCCCAAAATCCTTAAAATATAAAGGAACTATGACAAGTGGAAACTTATCATTGAATTCAACAGAATCACAAGGAGCATATAGTCCTGCATGTAGCTCAGATATTAAGAAAATAAGTGATCAGAAATTAAATAATTCAGAGTATTCAGTGAATAATCCATCATTAATTAATAAAAATGCCCAAAGTCCTGAATGTAAAAGTGAATTGAAAGCATTACAAAATATATGTGATGGAGATGAATGTACAAAGAATAACAAAATTATTTCTTCACAGCATAAAGATACTCAGTCTTCAAAAACAATGAATTCAACTGTTAGTTCTCAGTCTCGATCTCTGAAACCGGGAAAACAGTCATTGATACCTAAAAGTTCTTCAGGTTCAAAGCAAGGAAAAGATAATGGCAGTGCGTCAGTTATTGAGTCTACAGACAAAGAGGATGGTACTGTACAGAAGAGGAGAATTTCTAGATTTCTGCGACCTGACTTTTTTGACACCCCTCCTGAAGAAAGTACATATGTGAAAGAAAGAGAAGCTAAGAAAGCAGCAGAAGCAGAAATAAAGAAAGCTAAGAGACTGGCTCGAAGAACATCTTCTATGCGAGAGACATCAAACAATAAGACTGATATTCATGATAAGAACAATAGTAATATACCTGAACGGTCTATGTCATTAAGTAAAAATGATAATAAGACTGGAAATACATTTCATAAAAGTTCTGAAATACATCTTGCAAATATGGAGAATCATAATGAAAAGATAAAACCAAATCCCAAAATATCAAAGAATCCCTTGTCCCATTCAGATGACAAATGTAATAAGAATCAAACATGGAACTCATCACAAAAGGGAGATGTTCTGAGAACATCTGGAAGTGGATTATGTGCATCTGCTAAAAGTAGAGTAGGAAAAGCTATTTCTTCACTTCAGGAACATAATTTCACACCTTGGGATAAGAAAATAGTTGCTACTGAATCAACGTATTTAAAACGTGCAGTTTCTGTTGATGATGTAAGCTTAAAAAGTCAAAGTTCTTTAATAAAAACTAATCCAAAGCTTGGCAGGAAAATCAGTTCAGTTTTGGGTTTATTTTCCAAAATGGATAATCCAGCTCTAGAAAATCAATATCTATCAAATACATCACAGGTTCAAAATGATGGAGAAATTGCCAAAAGTTACTGTGATCAGATACATTCTCAGAATGAAGTCAAAACATCTGTTCCCTCAAGCAATTCTTCGGAAAAAGGGAAAAATAAAGTAGAAGAGAAGAAGCAACCTTTTGGCTCAAACTTTTCCATAGGTGAAGCAGAAAATGGGATTAAAAACATGAAACAACCTAAGTCTCTGAAAGATTCTAAAAATAAAGTAGATTTAAAGAAGAATAACAAGAAAGTAGCTGCACAAGTAATTTCTGATGCTCTGTGTATCACAAAGGATCCATCAAAAAAAACATTAAACAGTAACCCCCCTGATTTCAAGAGCACTATTGCGTCAACTGAAAAAATTCAAGCACACAAAGGTAATGCTTCACATGAGCAAGATGTAAACAAAGATTTCTTGCCTTCAAATTCTTCACGATTACCAGCCCATACTGATGAGTCATCTAATATTTCAAAATATATTACTGACAATAAACTATCAGGTCCCAAGATTTCCTCAGTTGATAATGAAAATTGTGAACAACTTAGTCTACTTGTTTACAAAGAAAGTTCATTACCAGAAACAAATGATTCAAAATATTTCTCAAAAGTTCCAAGTATAAATTCTGAAAATTCACCTGCTGATGAAACAGAAAGTGTTGACTCATGGTGTGCTTCTTCAGATATTGATGCTCAAGAAAACCTAGGATTACCTGGAGATGATGATGACAAAGAATCTGAAAGTGTTGAAGATCGTATTCGCCGAAAAAGCTTTTATTCACGGTTTAATGATGTGAAGAAGAAAGGACGTAAAAAATCATCTCAGTTCCTCAAAGATTGTCGAACAACACTACTACCTACCAATTATCATAAAAATGATAATCAGGCATTCCTTCCACAAGGTAGTAACACTGGAGCAGTAAGTAAAAAATTACCAGTGCCATCGCATACAACAGAAACTCACAAAGATCTGGAAGATACAAATAACCTTTCAATAAGTTCCCAACAGAATTCCATGCCAGAAAGTAATAATACAAATGAAGTATGTAGCCTAGAGGGGAAAGAAATAAGTTTTGAGAAAAACAGAATATTGGATAATGTTTCGAATGCAGCAAATGAAAACACTTCAAATACACGTGCGTTACTAAGACCAGCTGCTTTTGCACAAAGTGTTCTAAAGAAAACACCTTCAGTAAAAGGAAAAATGCAAACACAGCATCAAGATGGAAGTACTTTAATTCCGAAACTCAGTAATCCAGTCTCAGGTGCATCTAATACAGTGCTTACTTCTGAAAATACCAAACAGAAAGAAGAAATGGCTACTTCCTGAAATTTCAAATAATAAACAGGTATGTCCATTACAATGCTAAAGAAATTACAAATACTTCTCAAAATTATTTCCATGTGTTTGAAATTTATATAATATAGTAGAACATTTTGAATAGCCCAACCATTTTTTGTTACGTAGGCCTAGTAGAGAAATAATATGTACTTTGTAAATAGTTTGCATTTCTTCTTATATGAAAAAATATGCTGCCAATACTTCAAAACTATAACAATTCACATAAGCACTTTTGAACAATTATTTCGCTACATATGTTAAGAGGTAACTTAATATTTTTTCAACTCAAAAGACGCTTATTGTTCATTTCTACTTACATCTAAGTTATCATATTAAGCACTATCCAGTTTACAGTCTATTTTTAGCACTTTACATGATAAACATAAATAGTCCTGTTTTTTTGAAAATTTGTTCTTTTCTGGATCCACAATTAGCTTATGAAGCATTTTCTTATTCAACCTCAATTTAGCATTTTAAAGTAGATTTTAGAAAGAATTCATCATTTAGATTAATATTAATCATGAACAAGTAGCAGATATAAGAGGATTTGAAAATGTGATGATATTTCAAGCCATGGAGCTGGTGAAATAAGGAAAAAGTTGGTTATTCCCTCTCAAATTATTGACTTTGAAAACTTATCTCAGTGGAAATATTTAAATTATATATTAAATATCTGTATAATTCATCTGTCACATTCACTGCAATTGACTCCCCATTATACTGCACATTGGCTACCCACTTTATTTTTCATTGGAAAACTTTTTCTTATACAGTTTTATTTTGTATTGGAAAAGTTTCTGATACAGTGGGTACTTTTGTGATTTTGTGAACTAATAGCTACTGTTGCTATTTTCCTTCTAGATGAAATATCATTACAATAAATATAATTTTAATGTAGGGGGCTGTAATCTAATCGTAATTAATTTACATACCTGTTACTCGTAACATTTATACCGTCTTCACTGAATAAATTAAATTGATTTTAACTTATTGTCATGGTATATTAGCAGAACCTATGTGTTTCTTAATTTAGCTTTGCTACTTTTTATATTCTTTCTATCTTTTCAGGAAGTCATTGAGACAAGAATATATTATATATATTTACTATATCACAAAACTATTTTCTCCTGTCCATTCACATTACTCAGAAACATATGATCTGGCATTTTAATATGTTTTCACACATGAACATACAGTAACAAAATAATTAAAAAAATATGTAACTTACTTTAAGGAGAAGTATTTCCAAATATTTTATATTATTGTGAGATGTAAGGACTGTTGTATTGTAATTGAGATTGAGAATGGATCTCAGAATATGCCATTAAGTAAATGTATGTAATGTCAAGAAATGCAAAATTACACATATGTTTCATTTCTATTATGCACAGGTACTCATTTCTTGGAAAACAGCCTGTTAGGCCTAAATATTACCAGGATAAAAGCTTTTTTGTTTTATGACAATATGAAATAAATTTGTTAGCATGTTTTTTGACTAAATATCAAAACTTCAATGTAATTTTGAAGAATATATATGGAAAATGTAAATAGTATTGTGTGGAAGAAGAAGAAGGAGAAGAAGAAGAAGAAGAAGAAAAAGTTAAAATGCATGAAATGTTATGAGAGTGCTCTTCATAACTAATACAAGACAATCATAAATTTGAGCTTCCAGATTTCACTATGGAATGTATTGTATGTTTTATGATTCATTGCCATGATTTTCTAATTATTTTAATTATGCAATCACCTCATTTTAACTATAAATAAGGCTGTGCTATTTTCTTGCATTATTGACTTTTATTAAGAGACTTCCTGTGAAATATTTCATTGGAAGAAAAGGTCTTGTGTCAAGTGACAGTCTGACTTTTTCTATTCAAAAGTTTCCTTATTACAGTAGAGTAAAAATATTATTCCTTTGAATGATTTGCATATATATGAAATGAGAGAATGTTGAATGCATGAAATCTCTTTACTTCTTCTTTACCTTAGTTTCTTTACACATGAAAAGTATTTCTCAAAGTTGATTCATGCATCTTGAAATATAATTTCCAATTTTCTTGTCTCTACTCTAAATACAAATGCATAGTGAATGTCTAAGCTAAATTATGATTTTCTTGTTTGATGAATTCTTGGAATAAATAGTGATATTAAGACTGGAAATGAATGTAAAGTAAGTATGACTTTGTAAAGAAAGTCAAATGAATGTATCAAAATTAACATGTAACTTTCTGTCTGAGAAACTGTCAATATTTATTTCCAAAAATAATACGTGTGAATAACAAGATATTGGTGTGAATAGAGATACTGAAGTGGTAGAACCAAAGATATTGTGATATATTTCCAATTTGTGCTATGACTTAGGAAAATCCTACTGCTACATATACATAACTTCTATTTTCAAATATGTTATTGAGATTCTATTTAAAATTATAATTTCATTACTTTTTGAAAGTAATTGCACTATTAATTAAATAATATGTAAGGCAATCCATGATTTAGTTTTTTAAATAACAAAAAGAAATGTCAAGAATAGATATATAAATATAATTGTAGACTAAACATAGTTTTGCATTTTATGCATAAGTGATGATTTCCTATGATCATGTTGTCAGGGTATATAATACAACTTGTGCTAGGAAGATTTACCAACATGCTGTCAACATGAGCTATATATATATATGTGTTATTTATTTGCTTTTTTATATAAGTGGTTGCCAATATATTCTGATTCTGGCGTTGGACTACAGAAGCTATTGTTATAAAAGAAATGAACATGAAAAGTTTGCAGTTACATTGAAGGAGGTATGCTATGGATCTCGTGTATAATATATATATAATCTGCTACAAATACTTCCAACAATTCTCAAAAAGTTACAAACTAAATTATATAGAATTTTGTAAAACTTTATTAACAGATCTTTTTAAAGAACTTTTCAGTATGTTATTTTATCAGATTTATAATATTAATAATTTGGTTCCACTTCTGTTTGGTCAGATTCCAGTGTTGTTTTTATGCTAAATGTTTCTGTGAACTAAGTTCAGTAGTACATGGATTGACCTGACATTGTTATTGAAATGTTTCTAAAGTATTATTTTTGTCTATGGGTGGTCATTAAAAATATTATTTTGGCTTGACAAATTACATGTTAGAAATCTCTGAAGATTACCTTCCTCTGTTACAAAATCTACAAAATATTGTTTTGTAGATGTGATGAAAATATTTATAATAACAATTTTGTAAAATCTATAATTTTATGATTTTCAATATTAAATTTTATAGTTGGAACTTTATTATTTTGATGTTAACCTTTCATTCCTTTTTGTTAATGTTGTGATTAAGTAAGTTGTCTTTTTGACAATGGGCATTGTATTGTGTTGTGTTCGATGAAAAAGAATCACTGAGTGCTTACATCTTTTATTCGATTTACGACATGAATTAGTACTTATTCTAATTAAAGATGTGAAGCTTTTCTTATGCCGTTGCTGCTGATGGAAGGTACTGATGAAGTTGTTTTTTTTTGTATGTCGCAACGATCTTAACGTTCAAGTACAAACAAAAAAGTTCACTTTCTTTTCAAATATTTTTTTGTAATTGTGAATCAGTTGCCTTTCTTATATTTTTGGTACATTGTTTCCGATTATAATTTTCTTTCCTGAATATGTCATTGTACTTTGACACATCATTACTTTCTTATTATACTAAAAGTAACGAAAATAAAGAATACTGTATTACAATTTTTCTACGATTCTAGGTGAAATTTTTGCTTCCTGTGAAGATTTACCTAATCTGTCAAGAGTGAAAGTGTATTTGCAAAGTAGGATTAGTTTAATTCATGACAAAAATATTTGTTGTAGTAAAAGACCAATAATAAACATAAAATTAATCATCAGTTTGTTTCTATCATTGAATTAAAATTATAAAATTTATGTACATAAATGTTAAAATTTTAAAAGTTATTTACAAAGTCACAACAATCATTGTTTGGAAGGAAGATTATCTTCCTGAAGAAATCCCAAAACAATATTCATATGTATTGAAATGTTGAAAATGATATAAACATGCAATTTTTGAAAAAAGTTTGGTCATAAACAGTGATTGTTGTTACTAAGTGAATTTGTGTCACTACATACATAATTTTTTTAATTTTAATTTCATGACGTAAACAAACTGTTGTAAAATTTTGTCTATTCATTATGGATCTTAAAAACTTAATCATTAAAGCAGCTCAAGAAACATTAGGGAGAAGGCATAAATGGAGAAATACCTGCGGTCTATAAATTTGGAATTGAGAAATAAAACAATAAAGGAAAAAAAGGAAGCATATCTAAAATTTTCACAAACTATATCACAAGATCGCTAACACAATTATAAATTCAAATGTGCAATAGCAAAAAAAGTAAGAAAATTAAAAAGAGAAAGTTGGGATAATTACATAAGCAATATTGAATACAATGTTCATGGTGGTTAGACATGACCTATAAGAGACATTGTACATCTGAATAATATCAGCACAGAAGATTGATTAGAATATTTTACTAATCTTAAGACAAACCATACAAGTGGAGATATTTTAAGGAATGACTACCAAACTTTCGAACCAGTAAATGATACTGAACTTATAGAATGTAATGAAATGGAAAGAATTCTAAATTCGTTCCTTAACCCTAGGAAGAGATGGAGTAAACATATAACTGCTAAAATATGCTCCTAAGGCAATTAAACCACACCTTCTGGATATATTGAACTTGTACTGGACAATTTACAGTATCCCACAAGAGTGGGAAGAATCAACAATCATTCCAATCCATAAAAAGGAAGATTGTTCAAATCTGAATAATTATAGAGGGATTAGTTTGCTAAACACAGCCTATAAACTTTATGTTAAAATAATCACATGCCGACAAATGTAATAAGTGAAGTTAAACTAAGAGAAGAGCAATCAATGCTTCAGGAAAGAAAGATCTTGCTCAGACTGTGTTTATATCCTACAGAATATTATCCAAAAAGGAAGGGAATTCAATCCCCCAACATGGATTGGCCTGCGAAGTGGCCATGCGGAAATGCATTCGGGCGGCGGCGATGCGACAATGCATTCGCTGGCGTCCCCCCGTGAGTCAAAGCAACTCGCCCTTGCCCCAACCTCGGTAAGGCCCACCTACTTGTCATCTCCCTGATCGGAATCGGAATGCCAGAGTTAACGTTTTGCATTTGCCTCCTCAGCTTCGGGGGTCACGTGGGTAACGCTTCTTTTCCCCCGCGATTGGTGAGCGCACGTCACCGGGCTCGGAGATAGCGGCGTTCGTATTTCCCTGTGAGTCATCTGATGCGGCCGGGCGTCGGTTGTGCCGAGACCATAGGGCTGCATTCCTCAGGGTCCCCGACGCTCCGAACACGCTTGCAGGTAGCGGAAAACTGCACGTTTCCTGGTATGTTACGCAGTAACGTTATATTCAATAAATTATTAAACACGCGTCGCAACCTGACGCGTGCGATCGCCCCATTACAATAGTTTGCAGTTTACAGAATTCAATTTTTTGATGACTATGCTCCGAAATTTGTGAAAGAAAAAATCGTAATTTAAAAATTAATTTTCTACATATTTTTTTGAAAATTAATAATTCCAAATTCGACAGAACTTCTTTGTGGAAAAATATATTTGAAGAAAATCCGCATATATATGAGAATTACTTTATAGTAATCGAGTAATTTGCATCCGTTCGTCATTTACTGAAAATTAGTCCAGCCTCTAGATATCTTACCAAGGAAAGAATTCCGGGAGTATTTTCTGAATGGTTATATGTTTTTAGAGTGCTGAATTCGAACTTTATGATTTCCACTTCCGAAAGGTCACCTTCACGGAGGAAATTGCATAAATCCGTAAAACTTAGCACTTTTTTCAGTTATTCGCTGGTCTCCAAAACTATGCGTTTTATAGAACGAATGTCGATACAAATATGAAGTTCATAAAATTTCCTACAAAATAAAAGTTTTATTTTATTTTTATGGAAAACAATTTAGGTACTAGAGCGCACTGGAAACCGTGGATTTTTGTCCCTTTGGCCGAAACGGACGAATAGCATTCTTCCGCCCTCCTACCTCGCGGCGGTGCTCTATTTCACTTCATCATGCTCGAAAACAACTATTGTGAATGAATTATAAAAAATGTAGTGGCAATGTTCTGCTCTATACACTATACTGATGGCCTATTTGTACTAACTATACGTTTTGTCAATATACGCTATGTCATGACTTTAAAGTAAGAAAATTAAAGAGGAAATTTGTGGAATGCAACAGAAATATTGAAACAAATAAACAAATTGCATCAGGATATTTGAACGATTTTTAATGAATTAATCGAAAAGTGAATGAAAAAAGTTTTACGTATTATGCGAGCTGAAACGTTGCAAGTTATTATAAAAAGAAATTATATAATGTAATGAAATGAACAGTTATAGCATTTTCTCTTATGAAACCTCACATTTTTGATGCTCCTGGACAAAGGTCACATTGATTCTGATATAAAAACGTCTTTCTTCAACTGTAAATGGAAGCGTATAGCGTGAGAAAATGATTTTAAAACGTCCATTTTGAGCAGCAGCGTACAAAACGAAAGAAAATATAATAGATAAG